TGCTAGCCATGTTCTCAGGCCCTATTCAGCAAGGCGATGTAGTGAGCTCAGAAATGAAGGCAGTAGTGTTTGGTGTTGAAAAAGCCAAAGAAATGGGGGGATTGATAGGTTGATTGTTGAAGGGGACTCAAAAACTGTGGTAAACTGGCTGAAGAAAGGGGAGGGAATAATTTGGCAGTTAAGGAATGAGTTCAGGCGCTTCAAAGAAGCTTTTAAAGACATGGTGATTCAAATAAGATGGATTAGAAGATCAGCTAACAGCAAGGTTGATGGTCTAGCTAAGCTAGGAGTTAAAAGACAATATATGTTTTGGGCTATATTCTAGTTAGTAGGATGTTTCTATCGGGTTACCTTTTCGGCTGTGTTGTAATTAAAGGGATTGTTTTTGGGTTTGTTTGGGGCTGTGATGTATTTAGTGGACAATGTGGAATGCTTGTCCACCATGACTTCTTGGTGTACCTGATTTTTCTAACTAATGAATCTTTTCTGTGTTGTTGATCAAAAAAGAGTGTTGGAAAGAGATTTTGATTTGGAGGAGATTAGGGGGGCTGTATTTTCAATGGATAGATATAAAGCTCTAGGACTGGATGTTTTCACGATGGATTTTTATAAGGATTGTTGAGAGATAATTAAAGCGGGCCTTTGGACAGTCTTTGAGGAGTTTGCTAAGGAATACTTTATTAGTCCGGGAATAAATTCAACTTTCCTAGCCTTGATCCCAAAGAAGGGAGGTGCCAATCAACAGAGAGATTTCAAACCAATTAGGCTGGTAACAAGCATCTATAAAATCTTGGCCAAAGTGTTGTCTTTAAGATTAAAGCAAGTCCATTCAAGGTAGACAGATCATAGATCTAGTTTTGATAGCTAATGAATGTGTAGAGGATTTTAAAAAAGGGAAAATAAAGGTTTTGTGTRTAAATTGGACTTGGAGAAATAGATATTTTTTTGTTTCCTACTCACACGAGCCCATATCCTTGCTTTTCTATCAATCTCTAATTCTGATCTTCCTCCCCAATCTGATATTATGGTGCCGGTATAGACYGAAATTCCGTTATGGTCCAATTCTGAACAGTAATAAATACCAGGGCTGAAAGCTTATGACATGGTTGATTGGTCCTTCCTCTTGGACACTTTGAAAAATTTTGGGTTTGGGGAAAAATGGTGTGGATGGATTGAAGGATGTTTGAAGACATGTCATTATTTAGTCCTAGTTAATGGAGTGGTCAGAGGCTTTTTACCAGCAAACAGAGGTTTAAGGCAAGGGAATCCCCTTTCTCTTGTCCTATTTACTTTGGTAGTTGAGGTGTTCAGTAGCCTTATTGTAAGAGCTGATAGCTTGGGACTATTTAAAGGTCGGAGGGTTGGGAGAGAAAGCACGGTTGTTACACATTTACAGTTTGCTGATGATCCTCAAAAGGCAAGTAATTTGAAGCATGTGATCAAACTGTTTGAATTTGTCTCTTAGTTGAAGATCAACATTGAAAAGAGTTGCATAGTGGGACTGAACTTGGGAGAGGAGGAGATGGCTAGGGTCATAGAAGTCTTAGGTTGTCGTACCGCTAGGTGGCCTTTGAAATATCTAGGTATGCTGAATGCTCTTAGGATCCAACCCATGGGAAGGAAGCTTTTGGAGTCCAATTCTTGAAAGATGTGCCAAGAAATTGTTAGCTTAGAAGAGGAATTGTGTCTCTAGGGGGGTCGTATCACTCTAATTAAATCTACTATAGCTAACGTTCTAGTTTTCTTCCTCTCAGTATTCAAAATGCCACAAAGGGAGGTACTAAAAGTAGAGAAGATCATGAGGAACTTCTTGTGGGAGCCTGGTGAAGGAAGGAAAGATTACCTGGTGAGATGGGATCTAGTTTGTAGAAGTAAGGAGCAAGGGGGTTTAGGGTTAGATAATATAGGGAAGAAGAATGAAGCTTTATTGGGTAAGTGGCTATGGAGATGGCCATTAGGGGGAGAGAGGCTTTGGCATAAGGTGGTGGGAAGTATTCATGGTTATGCAGGAAATGGTTGGGATGCTAGAGTATCTTGGCGGGCTACTCTAAACTCTTTGTGAAAGGCTATTCATGGTATCCTTCCCCAGTTCCTCAGCCTTATTAGGTATGATGTGTGTATTGGTGATAGGATTCTCTTTTAGAAAGACACCTGGATTGGTAATTCCACCCTTAAGGACCTTTATCCATTTTTGTATTCCCTCTCCCTTTTTAAAAGTGAACCCATTCAAAGCTTTGTTTCTCTCTCAATCCTTTAGATTCAGTTGGAATTTGGGTTTCAGAAGAGATCTAAGAGACTCTGAACTTGATCAAGCTGCTTTGTTAATAAAAACCCTAGRCATTGTTTGTTTGGACTTTTCTAAACTTGATGCTAGAATTTGGACTTCCAACTCTCAGGGTCTTTTTTCTTGTGCCTCCTTTTTTTCTCAGTTGTGCTCAGTCCCTAACCCATAACCTTTCTTTTGGAAGGAAGTCTGGTCTAAGTCCATTCCTCCTAAAGTTGGAGCCCTTTGTTGGGAAGCCTCTCTTGGGAAATAAACCACATTGGATACCCTGCAAAAGAAAAGACC